CCTAGGTTTAGTGATGTCTCCGGCAGCCWTGCTGGGATCTCCAGATCGAATAATTGGTTTACAAGACACTCTTAGGGGGTCCTCTCAGATTCCAGCTTTTTACTTATCTAAACCTCCTTTTCTTTTGCCTCACGGGTCAGTAGCGCGGGTCAGTATTCAAGCGATGGGTAATGACCATGGGGTTGATCGCCGACATGTTTGTTGCCGACCAGGTGAACACATCAGCATTATATTTGAGGAGTTGCACAATGTCATTTCAAAGGAGGCCTTCTAAGAGGGATCCTACTTGGACTGTCTTCTCGGGGTCTTCGTTGAAGAGGGACACTTGGACGAGGTCTTCCATGGGTTAGTCGTGCTGTGTATGTAGTTCATCCCTTAGGTCCATGTTTTCTTTGGTGAGCACTTCAATGGTATGTTATCTCCCTCTATAGGCCGTCAAGTAACACTGCCTCGCAGTTCTTTGGTTTCCACAAGCTATGCTCACTCCATATTAGGTCAAGAACTTCACAACCAAGTAGTATGTGGAAACTGAGGCTCACAAAGCATTCAACATGGGTTGGTCAAGGATGGCATTGTAAGGAAACAAGATGCGAATGATGATGAAGTCGATCATCACTATAGTGGTGATGAAATCGTCGCATATCAATAGTGGTAGGGTAATTTTCCCCTGGGGTATTAGGGAGTCCCTAGAGAATCCCACCAAGGGGTGTTGATCGGCATCAAAAGTTCCTTCCCAATGCCGAGTTGTTCAAAGGCTTCTTCAAAGAAGATGTTGGGCGAGCTTCTTGTGTCCACCAGTATGCTTCAAATCTCAAAGTTGGCAATTTTGGCGATTATCGCAAGGGAATCATCATGTGGTGTCAGACCCCCCCTGAGATCATCGTCAGTGAAGGTGATGGGAGCATCCTGCCTCTGTCTCTTTGATGTATTCTAACATAAGCCTTGTGGGCTGAGCTACTCTCTCCTTTGAAAGCCATCCTGCCCAAGATGATAGTGATGACTCTTGCTGAGGGAGCTCAAGTTGGTGGTGCATCAAGGCGGTGCTCTTCACCCTTTGGCTTGTGTTCCTTAACGTCCACGAACCCGCTGAGGTACCTACATGATAACTCTGCATTTTGATGCCTTAAGTGCATCAATTCAGGGGTATTTTCCGCCTTAGAATAGTCAAGATGTGCTCTTTTCCTAGTTAAATGCAATGTTGTGGCCTCTAAGGGTCTCTGTATAAATTCTGGGGAATACTGGGAAGCTTTTATGTTTAAAATGCAGATTTTGGAAAGTTGGTGTGAAGTCCAATTGAGAGAGGGGGTGTTTTTGTGAAAAACTAAAAGCAAGAGGGCGTCTCGTAGCTGCAATACCCAGTTTGGCACCCCTCCTACTGTATTAGCATGCTCCCCACGCCTTAGCAAACCCTAGGGCGCCTTTTAACCCATTCTTTTCACTCTTAACAAACCCTAGCCGCCCCTAACTGCTAAATCCTCACCTTTCATCCCTTCTAATCTTCACAATCCATTCTAGAGCACTCTCTTTTTAGCATTCTAACCCTAGGAGCCACCTAACTTCTAATCTTCACCATTCAGCCTTTAGCCATTAAATCACAGCCTTACATAATATTGGGTGCCTTCTCCTTTTTTTTTCAGCCTTAGGATCATCCTAGAACCATCCTAACCCTTCATTCTGAACCCTAGGGCACCCACATTTTTGCTAAAACCCAGTTGCCGCACCCTAGGGCTCTTGAGAAAGGGTTCAATTCTGCCCCTAGGTAAGATGGAAGGCTGATCTTGAGAAGTTCAAGGGTAGAGGAAGAGGAGGACGCCTAGGCAAGAGGAGGGGTTCCTACTTGCAGTTCGCCAACACCACTACTGCCACCTCTGGAATCGGATCCCAACCACTTTTACTTTATTTTAGTTTTAATTTTTGTTCTTTCAATTCTAGTTTTGTTATTTACTTTTTGCAATTTATTTTCATTTTGTTTGATCTTCATTTTATTTTCTGCATATCTGCAATTTGGCCAGGTAAGACAAAAGGTCTAGCTCGAGAAGTTCGAATGTCAAAGAAGAGATCCGGAGACTGCTACCTCTGATCGGACTACAAATTTTTATTTCATTTTGTCTGTTAATTTATTTCTATATTTATTTATGTTTTTACACTTTTAACTTTTAGTACTGTTTGAATTCTATATTTTTCTCATTTTAATTAATTAATTTTTATATTTCTACACYTCCCTCTTGTGTTCTCTTGTCCGGATTTGAGTGTATATTAATTTTCCCTCGCTTCCCTATGGATACGACCCGTTATCATCCCTTTGAGAGTCAGAAAAATTATAATTGATTAAATTGATGTTCCGAAGTGATTAACGACACACTTCCGAACACACTATGTTTTTGGCACTATTGTTGGGGAAGCAATGGAGAAAATTTTTTATTTGCTTTATCCGGATCTGTTTCATTATTTTTGTCTTTTTTGTTTTATTACTTGATCTATTATCTCAGATTAGTTCTTGTTTCTCTTTGATTCTTTAGGACGGAATAGCGAAAGGTAGGGTACCGAAGCATTGCGGGACTACAGGATGGAAGATAAGAGAAGAGAAATTGGATTGTGTTTTAAGTGTAGTCGTCCCATTTTATTTTTTATTTTTTTTATTTATATTTTTTAACTCCTTTTTTTTGGTAGAATAGTGATTTTCAATGGCTGGAGTTTGTGGAATGAGAAACTACTTCCAACCTGAGCCACAGATAGATTGGAACCATGTGTCTCGACAACTAGACAAGATTAATGGGGTGGCCCATAGAATTGACCAAGTCCTTGCATATCGTCAACAAAGTGGCCCAAACCCAACCTTGTCATCCTATCCATCATGTTCCATATGTGCAAGTCCGGCCCATCATGTTAGCTAGTGCCCTACCAGATGTGCACTCTCAATGGTTTGAAGGCCAGACCCACTGGGAGTACAATGATTACCTTGGGATTCAACTAGCTCAACCATGTCAAACCTACACACAGTCCCAGCAGTACTATTCATCTAACTCCGTGGCCAGCAATTTTAGAGGCCACAAGGGCAGACCTAATTCCAACAGATGTATCCTAGGAACCAACCAACCCAATTGTATCAAGCTTACCCTCAACCTCCTCAGACCCGTACATTAGATGACCAATTGATGCAACTTTAGCAGCTAATCCTAAATCAGCAGTGGTCCATCGATATATTAGAAAGCCAAATAGGACGGCTAGCCGAAGCCAAGRCGAGGAGAGAAGTAGGGCAAATACTGAGTCAACCGGTTGCGACTCCTAGAAATCATCCACTAGGTTTTCCTCCACAACAAATTCAGCCACCTCTTAAGAACCAAAAGCTTGAAAATGCCAAAGTTGTTACAACCTTAAGGAGTGCGAGGATGTTAGAGGACCCGTGTGAGAAAAAGAGAGTTAATGAAGAAGAAAAGGAGCAGGAAGACCCTAAGCTGGGGGGAGAAGAAGAAGGAAAGGAAACCTTAGAAGAAGAACCTTTAGTGAACCAACCAGTAGTTCCCTTTCTAGCTACACTCACAGCTGGGCCGATGTGAAAGAACAAAGAGACTTGCAACGAGGAGAGTCAGGAAGTCCATATTAACTTCCCTCTCCTCGATGCGGTCCAACATATCCCGGCCTATGCCAAGTTTTTAAAAGAGTTGTGTACATAAATGATGGAGCCACGATCGGCCCCACAAAAAATGATGCTCTCGGCAGATGTTAGTGCAACTCTCCTAAACTAACTTCCCCGAAAAATGAAARACCCTGGTGCTCCTCTCATAAGCTGTGTGATCTCTGAAATAACCTTCGATCGGGCCCTATTGGATCTTGGGGCCAGTATAAATCTGCTTTCGTCCATTTATGACAGGTTCAGGGTCAGCGAGTTAAAACCTACCCCAGTAATTCTGCAACTCGCTGATTGGTCAATCAAGACTCCTCGAAGTGTTATTGAGGACGTCATTGTCAAGATAAAGGGTTATTACTTCCTACTGGATTTTATCAATCTAGACATGACCCCAACTAAGGAACTGAACCATATCCCGATAATCTTAAGATGTCCATTTCTAGACATGGACCTGTGCTTGTGGAAAGGATATTGATTTCAAGTACTCTTGTTGGCTGATTTCACTGAATGGACTAGATGGCAGATTTGGAGGGGATACAAATACACCCTCTCTTTCCCTGTTTAGATATGATTCCAGYGTAAATTTTCATGAAAATCAATAAGACTGCTTTGTTTTATCATATCCGAAGTCTACCTCGTGTAGATGAGAACATGGGTTTGAGTYAGAGAAAACTTCATGCAAGAAAACGCAGAGGTTAGATCTGAATTCATTCCATTCTTCTAGGACCCCACATAGAAGACCCCACATAGCCTGTCCCTTATTAATTAGTAATAGAGAGTAATAATGTTTTTTTTTTTTTCAAGGGTTAGTTGTATTTTGTTAGATAACAGAAGAATTGTTATACTTGTCCTTAATAAGAGTGCCCTTTTTCTCAAAAATAGGGGATGCTCAAATAGTAGGTCATTATGAAAACTTAAACACCAACCCCTAAATGTGCTATTTTTATCACTATTTTGCTGTGTCATTGTATTAGCATTTCCCTCTTCCCTATCTATTGTGTGAATTGAAATTCAAGTGAGAATTCAAATGCATTAGCATTGAACTGTTGATACACTGGAACTCCTATGCATTGAAAATCCAATATCTGAARCATAAGAATTTCCACCTAATCTTTTGACAGTTGATATCATTTGGGGAGTCAATGGGTATAGGGCTGACCTTSTCTGGGGGAATCACACATGGTCAATGTATAGGGTCCCCATCCAATAGACAACTCAGATACTACATATCATCTCCGCATGTTGCAGAAACCAGTAGGTTATCTTGACAATAAACCTAAATGACCGATTAGGTTACTTATTTASATACACAGATGACATGCATATACATATCTTTAAATAATCAAAAGAGTACAAGAAACGATGTCCCTCCTCTATYTTCAACCATTTACTTAGCTAAATCTGCTTGTCATTATTTCAATTCCACAATTGATACAAGGAAWTTTTTCATTCAATTATCACTTTAGTTGAAAGACTAGCAGGGAAAAGAAAAAGTAACAATACCCCTTGGTTAATACATATGACAAGGTATTCATTTAGAATATTATGCATCCTTTGCTCTTCCAGCTCTCTGTATGCCCTAACTTCCTGTTCCTTCACTTTGTTTGCTGGAAACTTTGTACCCACTGCAAATCAWAAAAGATAAATGGMAAAAAATAAAGAAAAAACATTAATAATCAATGAAAACTACAAAATGTGGTTACAGGATCAAGAGATTGCAGAAGAACTAGAGAATCATTTTACCTTTACCATTTTATGTATGGGATGGGAGTAGGGGGGTGAGGTGAAGTGAAGATTTAGATTGACCATACATGCTCATAAATACTTCAGAGAAGACTGGCTTCCAACATCAATTGTACATTTCTTGGAAAAGAAGTCAGTTTAGATTAACTTCATCCTACTTTTTCAGACTTGGAACAGATTCATAGGGCTTAGTGGACTTATATAATCCTCACTCCCTCGTCCTTAAAATTTTGCCCACAGCTAATCATTTTGATAATGGCTGATAAATTCTTAGTTACTATTCAAGATTACTTATTTCAAATAACCCCATGGTTAAAAGCTAGAATCGATTGCATTGAGTTCAACTAAATTTATCCTGAATTCATCAAGACAATCAATTTGCTGTAGTCATAGATACTCCAGGGAGTTTTCTAGAACTCACAACAATGAAAATTAGGAAAGGAACATTCAAATGTTAAATTATATAAAAGGAAATAAATCAGTAAAGTWTATTTTCCAAAAGTTTAGATCCCACTCACTCGGACCTGGGATGAACTGTGCCAGCTGATGAACATGAAGGATGCATATCTTCTTCCCTCTCGAGTTCTTCAATGTCCAAAGTAGAGTGG